GTCTTCAATACATTGCACAAACTTTCGCATCCAGGTGTTCGTGCAACCATCAAGCTTATAGCAGAAAGGTTTTGCTGGCCTGGAATGAATAAAGACGTGAGGGAGTGGGCACACTCCTGTGTAAGCTGCCAAAAATCTAAGGTCATCAGACAAAATAAATGTCCCTTAGGCTCGTTTAAAACTCCCGATGCTCGTTTCGACCATGTTCATCTGGATTTGGTAGGACCTTTACCAGATTCAAATGGATACTCTTATCTCTTAACCTGCGTTGACCGTTTCACTCGATGGCCAGAAGCAGTACCTATTAAGGACATCACTGCTGAAACAGTGGCCCGCTCCTTCGTCGAACGATGGGTAGCAAACTTCGGTTGCCCTTCAACCATCACTACAGACCGCGGACGTCAGTTTGAATCCGATCTTTTCCGTCGTCTGACCACACTTTTAGGAATCACTCGCCTCCGATCGACCGCCTACCATCCACAAGCAAACGGGTTGGTAGAACGTTTTCACCGACAACTGAAAGCTTCGCTATCAGCTGCAAACGTTTCACAATGGACCGACGCTCTTCCACTCGTCTTACTAGGTATCCGCAATGCAGTGAAAGCTGACATTGGATACACTGCAGCTCAACTCGTTTATGGAACGACACTTCGACTTCCAGGAGAATTCGTGGATCCTTCATCCTCTTCAATGAACATGGATCTAACCTCCTACACGAACAGGCTTACAAACGCAATGCGTTCAGTTAAACCTGCTTCCACTCGACCTCAATCAACTGATGTTTTCGTTCAACCTGACTTACGATATAGTACACACGTTTTCGTTCGTCGAGACTCGCATCGACGACCATTCGAATCAGCATACGAAGGACCCTTCAAAGTTCTTCAACGTGAATCTAAGTACTATATAGTCGATAAGAACGGAACAAACGATAGCATCAGTATCGATCGCTTAAAAGCAGCGTATTTAGAAGGAAATCCTATCTACGTCGATTTTCCTTCGGTACAATCGAACGACACGACTCCGACACTTATAATACCTCATCCGACAACCAACACACACGATGATACTTCGACAGTATCCGAAAATAAACTTAAAACGACGCGTTCTGGAAGAAGGGTGAGATTTCTAGAACATTTAAACGACTATTGCACGTAAGGTACTTCTCGACATTTTATATTATTTTTTTAAAAAATAACAATTTTAATATGCTTATATATTTTTATTTCTATTTAAAAAAAACAAAACAAAAAAAACAATTTTTTAACGCTATTACGTGTTCATGAGTTTATTTTCCATTTTTTTCCGCCGACATTGTGTTTTTACGCACATACGAGTGTATTTCGACATGCACTTACACTTTCTTTTTTCTTTTCCAGGACGGCTGGAAAAGAACGATGACGTTTATGAGGATCCGAAATTTTCATTGTACATTTTCTTTTTTTACTATGTTGTACCTCCGTCCCATATAGTAAGGAAGGACGACCAGACACTGCTAAATTTAGTAAGCTATCAGAAGAGTGTTTACCAACGACAAACTCGTTGGGTTTAAACTTCTGGCTGGCCACGTCTTAGGGTCGTCATTGCCCCACTAGGGGGGAGCGATCTGTAGCGGTAAATAAATCCCCAAAATAAATAGCTCTAAGTTTTCGACATTGGATGCTGACCATATGTTTTAGTGGACTCATCTAGCTGAAGGCGCTCGGTCAGGCATCCGCACCAGATCACGTGTGGTAACGCCGTGCTCAACATCAACCGCAATCGCTAGCCAGATTAGATCAGAGAATTCCGATATATTGGTCATCGCCAAATATACTCTTCCGATCTCCTCGACTCTGTCTTTTGATTTCTCTGGGCGGGAACGAAATATATTAGGTGTTACTGGTAGAAGCGTTGTCAAACACTGAATACCTGTGACACCATCAAGTGCTTGAGTGTATGAAAAGAAGTGAGAGACATTTAAGTGGATCTTACAGTGTAATTTTTTATTAAGCAGACAAAGTTTGTGATGATGCTGATGATGTCACGGGTATTTATTTACCGCTACAATGCCCAGAAAACAGCCTGTTTGTAGAAGGAAAGAGACTTAAGTAAAATGTCAGATGTTGTCTGATGTAGCAACTCAAAATGAAATCAATCATGGACTCAAATAGACCATATCACCATCACCCGTGCTCTATAGAAGATCGTGTTTAGTCTCTGATCATTCTCTGGTACTAGCAAACATATTTTCCAATCTTGATGGACGTAAAAATCCACATAATAAAGGCCTCTTGAATTTTTACTTAATAATTAAAATTTCGGGATTATGTTTCAGGAACAAACATATGACTAATTAATTAATAACCATCGAAATGAGAGATCTCTTGAAATATCTTGGCATAATCTCTAGCGAGCATCAGTGTTATCTATCAGTGAATAGGATCAAAAGGTTAGGAGTAATCACTCGACTTCGGTTGCATTTTATGGAATAAAAGATACTGAGAAACTCAATACTTTGAGCTTGGTAGATAAATAACGTAAGAAAGGGTTGGCAGTGGAACAGGAAGATATAGAGAAGGCAGAGAGAAATAAAAATAATCGAAAACTTTCAGACATTAGATAAATGGCTATTGGAAATCAGCGAATTATTGATACCATTTCAGAGAAAGATGTTGTTTTTCCTATTACCAATAATAGTCATACTACTCTGGTGTCGCTCTATGTTGGTGTGGTTCAGCTACCTTAGCTGATGAACGTATGTGCCAGATTTTATGCTGCGTGTGACTCTGATGAAGTGACGTGGATTCCTCAAGACTGTAAACCGATTGCAGCTACGTCATGTCCTGGTTCATATTATATGACAGATAATTTGACTTTTTACCGCATACTAAATGAACGCCAAACTATTTTCAGTGGATGTGTGCAATTAATACACGTGATTCATCCGGGCTTGATTCACCCGCAAAACAATCAAATGGAAAATATGCATCTGCCTCAGACTCCTTGAGATAATCTTGAACGTGATTAGATTTTTGTGCCTGTGCAAGCCTCATGTCTAGATAAACTGGTTCTCTGACTGCTTCAATAAAACTTTTTATTCCCTCTGATTCATCAGATAACTGACTAGGGATTCTGTTCGTCATAAATTGGTTGTGAGAATATCCAACATCCGACACAATGACGTCAGAGATGTGACTAGAATTCGACACATTCGGAATATATTTGTCACATTCACTAGGGATATCACTAAAGATAAATCCATTCTGATGTGACACGTGAGGATTGCAATCAGATTTTAATTCATCTGGGACTTATTCCACACATCTGACGCATATCTGGCAAAATAATATCATGAATCTGATCAGAGTATAGTTCATTGGAAACATTCAACTTAACTAGATCGGAATTGAAAAGTTTAGCATCACTTGCAAGGGAATGAACAGTAGTTTTATAAGCTAACCGAATGTGTTAAATTTTATCCCATTTAAGGCATTTAGGATTACGAAATACACGTGGATTATATGAGTGAAATTCAACATGACAAACTCTTATCCAACCGGAACTCATCTTCGTGACCAACTTATCAACTCCCCAATGATGTTACCTGAGTAACCTTAAGTAAGCACTGCATCGGGATGACGAAGTCATTTACAAGAATCCTTCATGTCCTGACGAATCAATTTATGGAAGTTTCCTTCTTTACAACAGTCAAAATTAGTACACTTTACGTGGTCAAGTAATAGTTCATTGAGAGTTCCGTAGGGAAGTGAAATACGCTTTTTGGAAATGTTTAAGTTTTTATTAAGCTGTAGACTTTTTTCCCCGATGAATATAAGGAAATGAGCCACAATATTCACACTATCACCATCTTCCCTGGTCATAGCCCAGATTTCGAACCTTCACATATAATCCTCAAGAGCATCAGAACTGTAATGTCCAACTTTTCTATCACAGGCTGCATCACGACGCTAATGTGACGATTAAACGTATTTGAATCATTACGAGAACTAGAAATTCCCGAAAGAACTCAAATAATGTCAAATAGAACCAAGTGATTACAAACGAATGTATTGTAACACGTGTAATCAGCAGTCACTGGAGAGGGGAGGACTAAAACCGCAACACACACAATGTTAACTGAGCACTTCACACCACAGAGAGAACACGGAATGCAGACCACCAGTTGTTTATTTGAAGATTAAAACTCGCGGGTTATGTACAGAAAGGAGAGCCAGTTTACAAAACTGTCTTATGAGTCATCCTGTAAGTTTAATGCATGCAGGGATTGCTCTTCTTCTTCTAAAGCATTTATTCTTGGTTGCCCTGCAATAGAAAAAATCTATTAACAACATCATATATTATGATTTTAGCCCCATTACAGTATTGTATTTTGGATTCGAAATCATGCAATCATCAAGTACAAAGAAATCATTAGTTCGTACAAACGCCACAAAAATTGTCTCCCCAATTTATCTCAATCATGCTTTTGGATGTTTTATGTCGGCTGCATTGATATTTAGTTACTCAGATAACAAAAAGTAATGACGTTCCAACAGTGATGCCACTATTTAGGATACAGAGTACTGACATGAATTATCAATGTTCGACCACCTTTGATGGCTTCATGATCTCGATAAAAAGTCAACAATCTGCACAACTCTATATTGATATTAGCATACTGCCATTTTTATTTCTGTTGAGATCTGCGTGTTTTGTTTACCCTTTGTAGGACATGTCGCAAAGTTCTGCTATCAAATCGGTAGTTTCTCTTCTTGACACTCTAAAGTGTGTCGGCATCTGTTATGAAACATGAATTAAATGGTTTAATTCAGTTTACTTGATGCACAGAACGTCATTCTGTGAAATATGACTTCTTAAACTAATTTCTCAAGTTATTTTTTCATGGCTTACCAGGTAACAGAGCGAATGCCACTGAACTAATTATAAAATCTTTTAGTTATGACGTTTATGAAAATACTATTTGCGATTATGTAGCAAAATAAAATAACAATTTTATAGATCTCCAGCATCTTGGCACTGACCTCTGTGAACAATCTCAAAGATAAGTGGTACATATAGTGAATTTATACTTATCTTTTCTCAGATCAAGTTATTGTTTCTTGACCAGCGGCAATCCGCTTTGCGCGCTACCGTCACATAGGTCTGGTTCGTTCCTCAAGTAATGATCCATCAGTTATTTCCTCTTATATTATGTCCTATATGGCAATACTGGTCTTTTTAAGTGGCATAAAAAACTTGGGTCTCTAAAGTGCATCTTAATAAACCTCAATTTTCCGGGACCCAATTATAATTGGGTTACCCAAGCTCCCAATGTTAGGGAAAATTTGACCGATTTTGAGGAAATGGCACAAAACCCCCAAATTTCCCCGAACGTTGGGGGTTTCCACAAAGTTGGGAGCTTGGGTAGTAATTCAGTTTTCTCTAGTTTTTCGTAATAGCTCATATTACACTTGGCTGATTTGTGATTTCAGTATAATTTTTATAAGTGTAGCATTGTACTTTTGTTTTATATTTCATTCGAGATAATTCTTATAACCTAATTTTTGACATCAATGTCTGAATCTGGACATTTCCTTAATACCATCAAAAAATTTCTAGTTTTCCTCAGACCACGGGAAATTTTTTTCTTGATCTCACCTCTCCAAAGTTTTTATTTGGAGCTTTCCCTTAATTGATGAAGTTCTTCCAGAATCAGGAGATTGGAAAGGTTGATAAAACTAAATCTGAACTTACTTGTTTGGTTCAAGTTATGTACTTCATATGATATGTATCATACTTAAATATAGTGTGGTGTTGAAGACTCGTAAGGTGCAATCTACGGAAACTATTGCTTGGCGGTTCCGCAGCTAAGGTTCATGATAAAAGGAGATTAACATCCCAATCTCACTATTTTGGGAAAAGACACAAAACCCTAAAATCTGGTATGAGGATATTTTTTATCTCTTTTTGGTGCGTCTAGTGAATATAATTCGGTTACTTAGTGTGATTTCATTAAGCTATCCTAGGAAATGCGTTTTAATGTTCCTAAAGTGTGGTTTGACCCTCAACCAGTGACTGATGCTAAATATTATCAACCATAAAATCACCGCTTCTTGGTGCTTGTATAAAATTATTTCTGCCAATATAACCAAGTCCGCGGTAGTGTATGATCCTAATCGATTACTCTAAATCCTCATAATCTAGTTGTAAACACATTTTCAGGTGTGGCTACAAATATATATGGTCAGTAAAAAAGTCTGCGAAGTATGCTGATTTGTGGTCAGAATCCTATGTAGAAGATAGCAGACGTAATTCAGGCACTTTAAAACGATTATTTCATTGAGGCTATCAAAAACATGAGTGGAGGAGTTATAAAGTAGGGACTAGAATTTCATTATATGAGATAATTAAAATTTCTACACATTTGGCAAGCAAACTTATGACTTTGAACCTCCATACTTTTAGGTTACAATATTCCCATACAGAACAGACTTATCAAATTAGGTAAACAACCAATGAAACAAAAAAATTTATGTGGCTCATCTATCAGGTACTCGTTAATGTTCTCAACTTTGAGCTTTAATATGTCAGAATGTACCCCAGAAGATGAAATGATAATATGTATAGATGGAACAAGAGAAATCGTAACTGAATGCACCGAATATACAGTTCTCTTAGAAATACTTCCTGTTAGTAAGCTTTTTAATGACATAAAAATGGGATCAAAAGGTATAGCTAAATCCCTACTGGGTGTTATTTTAGGTCTTGTTTAGCAAAGCTTTATAAGTCTTTCTGGTCTCGAGTATACGTAGATTCATTTCATCTGCCACGTCACCCCTAGCACTCAAACAACCACACATGTATTAACAACTATTTGGAACTGTCTATTTTAGTAGGTGCGTGCAAGTACATTTGCCTCCCGTCTTGAAGAAAAATTGCACTTCGAAAGTGCAAAGTATATGTATCATTTCCTAAAACTGCTAGTTAACTGGGTGGCACGCGTATCATCGTATAATGAGATAATGTTGTCCGCATCATTGGGGTCGAAAGATGTTTCCTGAGATAGCGAAATTTGTTCACTCTACATGAAAAGAAAACAGAGTAGATCAAACTGAAAGGAAAATTATATATGATATATTAGGTATGGCTCTTAAAAATTCAGCATTAACGTCTAGGGTAATTATAACCTGTCTCTTGATTATTGGACATGATTACTGTTTGGTTACCTGAACACAAGAAACCAATGACTAAATTGGACTTCCCCTAAAGAAAATATAAACGTGCAACCATGTGAAAAATAGCGAACTTGCCATACCAAGGTATTTGGCGTTAGAAAAGAAACCCTTAGTTAAATGGAAAAGTTAAGCAAAAATTGGTAGCTCACTTAGTATTGGAATGCCATATTATGTTTTTAGCCACCAGAAATTCTGTCTCTGAATAGTTTGCGTACTTATTTAGGACTAGGTCTAGCACCCATATTGTCCATCTAGTAGTTTGACGGGACACTAGCAAAACCACCCCAAATACCCTGGTATGGCCGAGAGTGGGGAGAGTCCACGCGCTTTAACCGGGTTAGTGGACATGGAGAGTCCACCTAAAGGGGGGGTTGAAAAACCCTGATTCCAAACCACTGGTGCACATGGGCTCCACCATCCTAAGGGAACAAATGGCATAAGAACCAATCGTTGGTCACCGGCTACCGTGAGACTGCATATCGTGACGTTGCTCCACTGCCTTGTAGATTAGACCTTTAGGTCGAAGGCTCCGGGTGTGACCCCGTAAGAAGACCATCTGCTTCGGTTTGCGCACCCGGGCATTATCACAGCCCTCACACATATCAAATGAGATTTGTGTGGCGCATATGTATTTGGTACCTCCTTGTACTAATATCTATGTGTTAAAATAAATAAATAAAAATAAACACTAGGACTACTTTAATGATACATATGTGATCATCCGCGGTTTTGTCATATTTCACCTTTAATGATTGTGTCGTATGGTCGTATAATATCGCAAGTCAAACTGATGCACACAATGTTCTTTTAACCCATAATTGGACACCGCGGTTTCATGTTTTGCAGTTTTCAAAGTATCAGTTAAGCCTTTTTTTAGTTTATTTTTAGACTTCGTCAACAATCACTTCATTAGCTCTAACAGTAAACGGAATAAAATCACTAGCCAGTTTAGCTAGTAATTTCTGACTGTTATCCTTGAAATTGTCACTACGAAGTAATTGTGAAGTCAGTATTTTGGTTTGACGGAGTAGCTCTGTTCAGTTTCACATTTAGTCCTCATTCAACCACTTTGCTGAGTATATAATACAGTAAAACGGTTCCTCCACATATATTGTCAAGTAATAGCTTAAGTTATTGTCATATCATTTCTGTTACAAACCCAGTATATGAATCTTACATGATAATTTACAATTGGTTCTGAATTTTGAATCAGTACTGTAGAGTTTTTGATCTTTACAGGCTTTCAACATCAGTCTTTTGTAAATCCTATTTCTGTTCAAATGATATTTAATCCAAAGTTCTCATTCGATACTCCTGTAAGTTCTTTTCATTTTTTGTCAACCAAATGGTATTCCAGGATGTCACACCAGTTGTGGATGCTCAAAATCTATCATCTACCCATGTATCAATTAATAGATTAGTAGATACCTTAATAGAGACCTATCGCAAAGACATATGCTCCGACGAAAGTGTTGAAGTTTGCAGCGATGCTATTCCACCAGGAGTTTTAGAAGATGAAAGTTCCACTACTCAGTTTACAGGTAATTGTGTCGTCATTCTAACTAAAAGATTATAGACGTCGTTCGAGATAAAAGTAATCGTGTTCGCAAGAAAAAGGATGAGGTAAACGTATGTCTTTGTTTACCATCTGTTAAAAGTCAGAAAAATTTAATTTTGCTCGTGCTGTTACAAAATACAAGCAGGTGTCGTCATTTATAGAACTCAGTTTAGCTAAACCATTACTTAAAGTAAGTGCAGAATAAATTGTTCTCAGCATTAGTCACTTACTGAAATGTCCTTAGACAAACCAACTCCTATCCAGTGCGCATGCATCCCTGTTGCCTTACTTCACCATGACATATGTGCTTGTGCCAGGACAGGGTCTGGTAAGACGTTAGCGTTTTTGCTGCCTATTTTGGAGAGACTAGCAAAAAAGCCAACTGATTTTAACCATGCAGTTACTCGGGCCCTTGTGATCAGTCCGACTAGGGAGTTAGCTGTGCAGATTTTCAACGTCGCCGAAAAGCTAGTTAAATATTGTCCAAAGCTCAGGATTCAGTTAGCGGCTGGTGAGTTACTCTATTGTGAGATATATTTATGGATAAATAGGAGGACTTGATTTACACTCACAGGAGGCTTCCTTGAGATTGAATCCTGATTTGGTAATTGCAACACCGGGACGTCTGATCGACCACCTCTCAAATGCTCCTAGTTTTAACTTACAACACATCGAATACCTTGTATTGGATGAGGCTGACAAGTAAGTGCCGTATTCATTGTTTTTTTGTAAGGCTTTTAGACGAATACTTTGCAGAGCAAATAGGAGAAATTATTAAATTCTGCAGCACAAAACGACAGACCTTGCTATTTTCTGCTACAATGACGGAAAGTGTAAGTTGTCAAATTACTTTTGTGGTAACATTTGGGTTGTTTTTCCATGAATTTCAACTTCAGCTCTGAAAAATTAGCCTTTCCTTTATTTGGCTTGGTAGATAAAGATCAATGTAGAAATTGGTACATGTATACATCGGTTCACGCTACCACATCCTATTATTACAGCGAGATAAAATTGTCAGGGTGTCCCAGAGTAGTAGAGGTAATAACAATATTAGTGCTGAGCGCACTCAGTCTATTGCTGTGAAAGTACATTTGGATTTTATCAACTTCCATAATTTGTGGCACAGGTGAGGATTCAGTCTGTCTATCAAAGGACCAGTACAATGCACCTCAGTTCTCTTTGTATTACTTTACGGCTATGTATTTAGTGGACGTACATAGGTTCTGATATTTATTTCTAGCTCAGTAAATGGTTATAGTCACTATGTAGTTTTACTGTGCTTTCTACTATCATGCGTATAATGCTGTTTTTTTACGGGTATATGTGTAAATCAATTGGTTTTTATTTTATTTTCTGGAACTTTATGCAATTGGCCATGTAATTCTACATGCATATAATTATTCTGATGTACATAGTTCTTTTTGTGATTTTAATACTGTGTAGATAGTTTATATCATGACATTATTTTCTGGATCAGGTTAAAGAACTTGCTATACTTTCGCTTCGCGACCCAGTACAAATATTCCTCAATCAAGCAACTGCTGTAGCCCAATGTTTACATCAAGAATTTGTTCGCATCCGTCCACATAGAGAGGATGATCGACGAGCGATCGTCGTAGCCTTGCTGATGCGTCATTTTCGTAAACGGACCATAGTTTTCTTACCAACTAAGAAGGATTGTCACAAAATGCATATTATGTTAGGTTTGCTTGGTCTTTCATGTACTGAGTTACATGGCAATATGACACAAGCACAGAGGTTGGAGGCTTTGAAGCGTTTCTCGTATGTTGGTGTAAGTGATGAATGTAAAAATAAAAGCGCAATTGATCAGCTTTCTGAAATGAATGAACATGATATACGCCCTGTTGATATTCTTTTGGCAACTGACTTAGCATCAAGAGGTTTGGATATTCCCAATGTACAAACAGTAAGTTTCAATTGTGCCTTTGTTGTCTCAATTGTTATACTGTGTATCATGTACTTTAATGTGTTTAAAGTAAACAGCAAGGTTGCTAAGTTCTACGAAACGCCAACATTTCAGCTTAACCAATCCACTGATTGTTTATCAAGAAATACGTCATTGTGGCACCCTCCATATTCAAGTGATGGACTAATTGGTGTTCCGTATGATAATATTGCCACGAGTAAACTCTAATGTTTGTTATTTGCTGAAAATCACTATGTCCATGTTATTCTAACAACCTAACCTTTAGTCAATCACGTTTTGGCGAACGTTATAAACATTTCCATCGTTTGATCACGTCTAATTACTTCAGATTTGTCTGAATATGTAAAAAAAACATCCTTTATTGGATGCTCATTGCGCTTCATTTTTGAAATTTAATTGATTAACTTGGCAATCGTAAGACTCGGACAAAAAGCTAAACTAAATATACGTCATATTACTCTGTATTTATAGTGCCCGCAGTCTGATTCCATAATAAACGACAATAAGTGAACCATAAAACAATCGTCTGTCTGATTTCGCATATTATACTTAGACCAACCCCGTTGGACAACCATGATAATAAAAGCGAAATACGGTTTGAGTTAGAAGAGTTTATTGCAAGCGTTTATCTACACAGAAAGACGGTGAGAAGCTCAACATTAGAGAAGGCTTTTCAGACAACTCGATTTTATCAAGTCCGACTCAGTATTTTCAAACACAGAAAAAATACAAGTGTACATATACATACCTGCTAGCATACACACATGCATAAAGCATGATCAAGGTTATACGTAATTAACCGACTTGACCAAACATATATGTACACAGTTACTTGGAAAGATTAGATTAGTTCATCCGTCTAAAAGTTAGAATAATCCATTCAGGCGTGTAATGCTACAGATTCTCAAAAATAAATGGTGACAATTTTTGGCCTTCAGTTTCTTCAAAGATTAATTGAGACTACATTGATGCTTGGTAAAATCAACGACTTATTGGTGTCATTTTTGGACTGGAATATATATTAGTCCCATTCTTTTTTGGTTTCCGATTGGTTATTCTCCCCTTTCTGTTCCGATGTAAAGTGTTTCATGGTGTGCCGATACACATGTACCAGGTCCTACGTTTCCTATGATTAACAGATTACGTGTAGATATGGATTGTCTTAACAATTGACCTATGTATAGTATGCATTTAGAATTAGTAGGCTTACACAATAATCACTATTATTTTGGGTTTGTGTGAGGTATATATGTAGTTATGCAAACGTGAATCGGTAGTCACTCGTGTTTATCTCCTATCAGAATTTTAGTTGTAGCAAATTTAGAACGAAACATCTTCATTCTAATGATGAGAAAGATACTCAGTTTCATTTGTTGTTTTTTATCTCCTTACATGAAAATCATAGGAACACATTTTTGTAGTATTGTGTACACTAATTTCCTGCTGGCTATGTGTACATTATTGCTATTAAAATAATATATTTTGTAAAAAAATTTACCATCAAATAAAAGCTAGAAATTTAATGAAGTATATATAATGTGATTATGGTGTGGATTGGGTACACTTAAATCAATAAGTGTATGGTCCCCGTGGTGTCCATTTTAGTTATTTTCGAATTACAAATTGAGTTGTTCAGTGAATCAGTAGAAACAGTACTTAGAAATATCATTGATTAAAGAATCATTTCTGATGTATTATTTACAAACTGATTACTGTTTGGAGAATCTTTCTTCTTATAATTGTTTTGTTAGATACCAATATAAAAGGTTTAGTGTTGCTATTAACTTAAAAACAAAGATTTTTTTTAATCTTAAGGTTATCAATTATACTTTACCTCAAACTATGAAACAGTATGTACACAGAGTTGGTCGTACCGCTAGAATTATGAATGTTGGTCGGTGAGTTCCTGTTTATAAGCTCATGCTTTCCCAGTAATTGTAATGTTTTTTCTACGTTTCTGTTTACGGATAAGCAACTACAGTAAGACACAAGCAAATCACTTAGCTATGTCTTCTTTTTGGACGTTTATAATTAATAATTAGTAGAAAGCCATGTTCTTATAACTCAGCGATTTATTTCTTATGGCACGTATTATAGCTTGTTGAGTAATTGTTTAATCATTCTAGTAAATCAACAATCCAGTCAGTCTTTGCTTACTCTTACTAGGGGCAAAAGGTAAACATTCATATAAGTTAATTATTCTTTACATCAAAACTTATAAACTATCATAACGGATTCTCAATATGATAATAGTTGAAAAAAGATATACCAATACAAAAATCAAATCTACTTATAAACGTTTAGAGCTTTATCGAACTATATCCCATTTAGTTTAGTCCTATCTCTCAACAATTCATATCGTATTACTCAGCTATTTCAATAGACATTGTGTCGTTTCTTTTCAATGAATAAACAAACTCTCGTCGAATTTGATAATCCTTGTTATTTTAAGACTTATTTGGTCCTTACAAAACTTATAATCATGATTGTATTGTCAATTTAGAGTGTACAAGTGCTATATATTACCGTTGTTTGTATGAAAATTACTCACCATCTTACGTACAAAAATCGAGCGAGTAAGTCAAATCGTCTAAGTAACAGAATGTACTAAACTAAAGATCAATTCTGAATTAGGAATGAGGTGAAAAGCGTCTAGTTCACTTTACTTGTTGCAATGTTTCTGTACAAATACGAGATTATGTTCCTTTTAAGCTTAATTACTATTACTAGATAGTACAAGATTTCTAAATTCTGCGAGTTATAATTGTTTCGATTACATTATGTCATTTTTTACTAACTTTACTTGATAATTTCATTTAAAGAGCAGTGTCTTTAGTGGGTGAGGATGATCGCAAAGTGATGAAAGAAATAATGAAACAAGCACCTTATCCGGTTAAAGCACGAGTAATAGCATCAGGTTAGATTCAATAATCTCTGTTTGATGATTAAGAAACATTTTTAACTAACATAACGTCTCAGAACCAGTCGCAATGGTCTAGATGAGTTCATTTTTTTATCGTCCCTTGGTTCCCATGTTCGAAAATTATTTCATACCTTTTATTCTGTGGATTCATTCGTTCTTATGGAATCATATTCTGTATGCGTAATGTTCTTTTGCTATCACTGCTACTTTGATATTCATTTTGACAATTTACCTCCCCGTGCTTATGTAGTGTGGTAATTTGAATATTTGCACATATGTTCCAGGTTCTACGTCGCTTATAATTGACTGACTGACTACATTTTCATTAGTTTTAGTTAGTAGTTATAAAAGTTCCATTCAGTAGTAGAAGTTGCACAAGCTTCGACATGAATATGAATAGAAAAACTAAAACATCCAGCCTCTAAATTATTACCTGGGTAACTTGGTCGCATGACTGAAGTTTTGATAACCATGTTTACATTCTGTTAATCATCATACATGATTAAGAGAATTTAGTGTTATAAGTTGTGATCAAAATTTGGGTGAATGGTTTTGCACAAATTGTGAACCGACTAAATAAAATTTAAAAGACAAAATGTATATTTGCGCGGAATTTAAAGTTCAGGGAGTGATAGTTTGTTTGTTTATGTAAACTAAGTGGACGTTCGCGATGTCCGTTCTAAAATGCTCGGAATCGATTATAAGACTAATTACTGTGTTTAGGTAATGCTCATCTAAATCCAACCTTACCCTATAATCAAAATCAAATCAGTCATTCTAAGATTTTTTGAAGAAAAACTTATTTCAGGCTACCATGCTAAACGCTCAAAGTATTAAAGTTCAGTCGCTGTGATTTTTATAAATATAACTTTATGGATAACTTATTTAGTAGTTCATAAAACAACACATTAGAAAGGAAGATGAAACTAGTCACTTATACGAAGTATGCATTTTGTAAACTGCAAAGTAAGCTTCAAACTATCAATTACTAACTAGTTTTTTCTCATTCTTGACTAATTAATTACTTACTGAGTGCCATCAAAAGTAATGTATACAACTGCTTTAATTTAAAAGCCACGAAACATATACGAATAATAGAAAGATCTAATGTGACGTTTAGCGCTTACACGTCTACATCATTCTGATAATTGTTAAATAAGGATACTAGGGATTATACAGCACAAAGTTGTCTCCCAACTGTTTCATATGTAGTCCTAACACAACTTTAGGAGATAGTAGTTTTGGATATACCTTGAAGAGAATGCCTATATATGTTTTGAAAGTTCTAGATCCATAATTTATTGATTTTAGTTTTTCATCTATAAATACTTCGGGGAATTCAATTGTGCAATTTCTACGGATATTTTCTAGATGTTATTGCTACTTATCAGTCCAAAATTACTCGCTTGGAACCTATAATTGGAAAAATCTTGGCTGCAGAAGCTGAGGAGCGAGAATTGAGGGCCGCTCAAAGTCAACTATCCAAGGCTGAGGAGTTAGTTACTTGTATGAAGTCTGAAACGGCACCTCTCTCATGTGTGGAAAGGAGAGTAGACTGGTTCGCTGAACGTAAACGTGATAAGAAGACTATTGGTCGAAGTAAGCTTAAAGCGCATAACTTGTCCATGTGTCTTATATTAACTTTTACCTCGATAAATACTGAATTTACTTTTTTTGAAAGGATACATTTTAAAACATGTTCCTTTGGAGTTAATATAGATTTATTCAATCAGTCGTCGAGACACCACCTCATTTTAGCACGGTAAAAGTAGGAAATTGACAAGATCAGGAACGCAGAACTGCTTTTTAAAGCTGTAACAAGACATCCGTCCTTCCCCAATGGAATAGCACCATCAACCCTTAGAACCGATCAGATGAGCGTTTGTCTAGCCCTCAAACCGATTAGTATCTGCTAGTAATTTCAAACAACCATTTGGAAGAACTAGGTGAAATCTATCAGGACCATCTAATTTTCTGCTCTCATTTAGTTATAGGCGTTTACACTTAACTGAGATTCCATTGATAAGTAGTAGGCATCTAAATATTAGCTAGAGGCCAGTTGAACTGTTTTCCAAAGTATTTCAATCGCCTTGTTTGAAAATTGATCATGGTTAACTAAGAGCTAACTTTTTAACTAATCTAGAGAGTTATCTGTTCTTACCTGTCACCACTGCTACTCCATCTCCTTTGCTTTCATTATCTACCACTACTCTTGATCATCTCGTAAACTTTCTACTTTTATTAAAGTCCCCTTCGCTTCTCATGTTCGGAACCTTTCAAAATAAGTTCTCAAGGATTTAATAGTTTGGTAAAAGATTAATTGGCCCTTCTTGACCATTTATTTTAGTTTCCATAGAGATCACACTGCTGGCTTTTGCAGAGAACTGCAAATCGCGCTAGGCTCCCCCAGGATAAGCAAATACCTGTTGGATTGTTTGGTCCAAACATGTCCATGGCATTTACTTTCAAATTGAGCTCCGTCTTTTTGATTAAACTCTCCTGTATTTAGCAAATACTCAAAACATGGCCGGAGTGTAAACGTGTTTTAAGAGAGAATTGATTCTTTTATTGACCCTCAAGAAGTCTTTAGATCAGTGTACAGTGAATCACTGGTTCACCAAATCAGCGTGGTAAGGTTTTTGGGAATGACCGGGATTAGATCTTTTATTCATATCTTGGAGAAACAGAATAAGCTTTTATCCCATTCAACAAGGTTTGAGTGTTGAAAGCTCCAAAATATTTGTGGAGCGATTTCAGGAAAGCAATAATATGTCGTAGGATGAGGTTGTCAGCATTGGTTGCTCATCAAAGAAAACATGAGATCGGAATTTATGACGGGGAGAAGTGTTAACTGAGAATAATATTAACTCCCAGCAATTAAGAGGAAAATCTATACAACGATCATATCACATTAACAGACCAGTTTATTTTGATCGTGCAATGTTGACTAAATTCCCGTCAGTCTGTATTAAAAACACCTAAATACTTTAAGGGGCGAGTCGTTATGCTGCCATATACTGGTGTCGTCATCAATAGTTATTTTGATTGCTATTTAGTTCACAGGGTTACATCTTCGATAAACACAATCTCGTAAATCGTTTGGGTTGAGATATACACAATGTTGAATAGGCTGCCATATATCTAGCTGAGAATATGCAGGTGGGCAGTATGCTCTATGAAATGTAATTACAAATTGATAATCCTATACAGGTTTAAATACAAAGCCAGTTTAGTGTGTGAATAGTAACACTACTTAACTTTCTAAGCTAATGTATGGTAAATTAGAAAATGGATTTCATTTTATAGCATTTTTATAAACTATATTTAAACTAATACCGAGACACTACACTTTCTCAAAAGACACTGAAGCTTCTGAAATCAAGTTATTTCTGGATAGAATTAGAGACGATTTTACAAAGAAAATTTATTTTTTACGATGACATTTGCTGAAGCTACTAGAACATAGTGTAGCAATGGGTCGCGAATTGTTAGAAAATATCTAATACCAGAAGTAGGTTCTATAATAAAAAAGATGTTGCGATGAAGATAGTTTATGGCTGAGATAATTGCTCGCTAGATGAACATGAAGAATTGAGTAGTTCGTTGTTGTAATGATAGCTTATTAATAATTACGAAGAAATGATGAATCAGTAGGAACTGTCTATTGATTATGGAAGGGGACAAGATACGAGGTAGAATATATTGCTTTTGTACATGGATTAAGCTCATATTTGGGGATTGCTAAAGCCTCTATGACTTGTTTGTATTTCCTTCGAACCAATTTGTTTGACTCTATGAATGATCCTAAAAGAGATTTTTGGTGGAGCAACGTGATCAGAACTTACAAGATGTTCCGCAATCGAACCATTGACTGAGTTGGGTACCATCTTAACAATATCTTATCCCACATATTCATTGTGAACGGTCAAGGTTGTGAAAACGTGACTAACTGGGGTAACTACCAGCTGATTGCAAAGATATTGGTTGGCATATGTAAGTTCGAGGACTGAAATACCTACTACACGTATGTTAAACCGTTTTCAGCATCGCGTTTCTCTGCTAGTAGTAATGGTTAGATTAAAATTAACCCTAATGGTTTTCGTAAAAACTCTGTTAATGGTTCTCTTATTACATTGTTTTCAGAACTCAAGGTGTCTCAGTCGAAAAAGCGCAAAGTCAGTTGTGATAGTGATTCTGAATAATACTTATTTCAGTGTAAATTATCTTTTATATTTCTTTAATTATGTTGGGATATAGGACATACCAAGCATTTTAAAAAGCAAAAAATATTGGAAAAAAGTTATTGATTTTAGCTACTATGGCCACGGAAATGTTTCTAATGCAAAGAGTGTATCAGGAAGTTCATCACGTTTCAGGTAACTAGATTGTGTACCTTTTTTACGGATTGACTGGCTGGCAACCCAAACCGATCGTCTTATTTGTTCAGCTAGAGTAATGTCCTCGTGACATGCGACGAAGTAAGCTAGTGAGCCAACAAAACAGTCTCCTGCTCCCTACGAAAAGAGATTACATAATCATATAAATTAATACAGTTTGGCGCCCTTTTTTCTGTTGAGTAATAAGTAATAGCGTTAAAAGAGATTTATGGTGCATTTCAATGTTTTTGTTGTTAATGATTCTCAAGTCACAAAGTGGTTGGTTATCTGCTTTCGACCGATATTCAGGGCATGATCAATTGTTTGTAGCAAGCTCAATAGCACAATCTCCTATTTTTCTGTCAGTAAAAGCTGTTCAAGAGGAGACATGCAAAGACCCATTTTCATCAAGGGTGACATACTCATCTTAGACGTATGATAAAATAGTAATATGACTACGCGCCAGGTGGCAGGACGAAATATACTGAAATTGGATCCAAGTGATGATGCACCCTTCAAAATAGTAGAACGTGCTAGATAGCATTACGGTCTTGTCGAATTTTGTGACGCGATAACTCCGATAGTTAGAAATTATTAAGTCCCCCATCGACGATCATTCCAAATAAATGTATTAGATTGTTTGCAATCCCATACTGGGACGTTACTGGAATTTTTCATCAAAATAGTAACATTGGGTCGTTTTTACTAAAATAATTTACTCCAATTCCATCAAACCCCAAAATTGCTTCTAGGATTAAAGCTTCCCTTTCTTGGCAAGTAATTCTTAGGATATTTTGTTAAATTTTCGCAAAATTCGATACCCAGCAAATATAAAATTTTACTTCAAGTCTGTCTACACCTTACTAAAAGCGCTTAATATGGGTACTTAACAATCTTGGGATATTGCTTTAGTGTTCACTGTAGACTTCGACTTATATGCAAGTTTGTTGAAGCTGTTAATAGATCAATATTAATTTCAGGAATCGCAGACTTGACAATAGCTCAAACGTACTACTTTTGTCTGTAAACCACAATAGACTAGAGGACAAGGTTATGATAATAAGTTCCGGGGGTCGTGTAGCCAGATATAAATACTTATTTAATTACAGGCTGTACGTTACCTGAGGAGTCTGGGAATCAAACTCAGAGCACGTTTACGTTTAACACCACATTCGGGTTCAATGTAGTGTTCAGTTACTCGCTTGTGAAGTCTACCTACTTCGAATGTCTATAGAATAGTCAAGTGTTTTTAAGAAAAGATTTGCATCCAAACAATGAAAGTCATAACGACTTGTGGTTATTAATTTGTAGGCTGTGTTTAATGTGGATGAGTTTGGGCTTTTGATGTACTTAATGGTTAATAGTTGTTAAGGTTGGTATTTTACAAAAAGCCTCATCTCTAACTGTCATTTCTAGTGAAAAACTGAAGAATAATTCTAACAGTTAACTTACTGTTGTATCAACTACATCAATTTTACTTGGTGCTGAGAAGTGCACTACCAACTTCTTTTGGTTATCAAAAGTAATACGAGCCACTTCGCTAGCGTCTTTGGCATATATATTTTCCATATCTTGTTCAGACAAAATTGCAATAACTCCTTTACTTCCTAGAGTTACTATGGGGTATTTGATCTTCTTTTTAAGCAAATAGGTAAGACCAGGAATAAAAGCATCTATATTCAGTGAGCCAATCTCATCTTTGGAAAAAAGTGATTCAGAATCAGACTCAGTTATAGAACAAAATTCAGACTCATTTGGGCATACGAAATCACAGTTTGACAAAATATCTTCCATTAATTCGTAATTCCCCAACTTCTCAGGATTTCCAGAAGCCACTGGTCCAGGTGCAGGATTTAAAATTGTCTTTACACCTTTAGCACGGCCAAGCCTCAAACTATAGAGTGTTGCTGTTGGATTGATCTAAAGTTATCAAAAAAATCAACACTTCAGCCAATTAATGACCGATAATTGAGTTAACTAGTAGATGGGGATGAAGGTCTAGGCAATTAGTATTTCGCTACGTAACGAATGTCATATCAGGAACTCTCATTACAATTCAAAGGTACAGTTGAAAACAACACATGAGTAATGGCATGTTCTGTTGGACACTTCCTGTTGTATAGACGACCTTGACATGCTGAGTAGTTGGTGCCAGCGAATGTCACAATATACATAGTTGTCTTCTGTTTGCTAAATTTGACTTCTCGCAAGTAGAAAACGCATAGGTCTAATTAGAAGTAAAAGGAATTACCGTTGTGTACGTTTTGTTCTCGAAACCTCTACACAAGTTAGTTATAGATTAGTGTTAATTTGTCAATTTTGAATGTGTTTCACATAAGTAGATTCATGAGTTCGGCGGGATTACTATAAGCTAGTTTTGCATCCATCGCTAAAGACGAAACGACACTGAACAAACGATCTTCTATAAAAGGTGTACTAAGTGTTGTAAACGTAGTAAGATCGCTCGAAGTCCTGAAGAATATTTGGCGAGTTAAGCTACATTTTCCTGTTATAATTGGATACTCAGTAATCGGTGATAAAGACTCGAAAGTCCTATTTGAAGTTTCTACTCCGACGTCGGGATTTTTTCGGATTTCTGTTTGAGTCAGTCTTGATGCATCATGCTACAATTATTACATGTATTCATTAATTTAATGTAGAGCAGAAAACTGTTACAACAAAAAACCCAGGAAATGAACCACACAAATGAAGTAAAGGGTAATAAACTAAAAAATAAATTGACGAAAGGGAAGTTCATTTTACTCTCATAATAATTACGGCTGAAAACTACAGCACGATTGCCACTGTTAAGAATAAAATAGAGCTATTCTTGCCAACAAGGTGTAAACTGGGACTTTTACGGTCAGATGAAGCTAAAGATGACTTCGGATAAGCCATGAGTGGATCCTCTCAAGTTACACGAGGAGAAGTGCATGTGAAAATGTTACATATTTATTTTGCTTTCGCTAAGAAATATGTGCTTTATTACACAAGACAATAAAAATTCCAGTTTCTTCAACAATAAGATAACGAAAAATTTGGTTAAACTCTGAAACCGGAAAGTCGTTACTTTTGTGAATGTTTGAAACACAGGATTTTATAACTTATTACAACACTAACGAGGTGTGTATATGCAACGTTGGGCTAGTCCACAGTTCTCTACATGCTCTGTTTTTTGTTGTCGATGAAGTTGAAGACGCTTCTGCTTGGTGTGTGAATTTGCATGATTGTTTACTGGGATGTCGAGACAGTGAACCTTAGCGTTGGCATTATGTGAAAAGATGCTAAGTTCAATAGACATATTAGGGTTTGCGGTTTACTTGATAACTAATCAAATCATGATTGCTATAAACTTACTTCAAACTGACAAACCATTACTTTTGTATCCAAGAGAGCTAGTTTCTCTGCAAGAGAGATGTCTTTTTCTGATACAAGCATATTTGCACCTGGGACGATGATAATTTGATTTCCACCTGTTCTTGTGTCAACTGTAATCGATGCAACTCCAGTACTATCCATTGATGTTCTTGATATACCGTCTAAGTTCAAATAAGGATATTGTTAAGTAATATACTAGTATACAATATGACAATGTACTGGACAAAGAAACTAAATTTCTATCTTTAAAGGAGTGATTAGGACTAGAACTAGTAAGGAATGTCTTGATAAAGGCGAGTAAAGGCAACCAAGATGGGTTGCCAAATAAGACGTGTTGTTACAAAAAATCTTATTTACTTCTCGAAAAAGTTCAAATTAATTAACGACGCCTGCATAATTAATGTTGACAGGATATAAATTATTGTTTCGAAAGTATTGGCTATTTGTTTACATTAATGGGGTGTAGGAGAAGATAGGGATTAATTTTGTGCAAATATTGTTAAGTCATTGGCATTTCTCTTAGATTTCACTTACCAGTGTTCACTCCAAGTTGTTTTAAGTGCTGAACAAACATTTCACCAAAGTAGTCATCTCCAACTTTTCCTATTAGTGCAGTGTTGCATCCCAGTACTCTGGAAGCCACACACTGATTCGCCCCTTTACCCCCGTAACCAAGAAGAAAACTCGAACCAGTTACTGTCTCTCCTAGCTTTGGAATAATACTCGTGAATCTAGGAATACAACATATTAGGGTTATTTGGAATTACACAGATAGGTCAACGTTGAGTGAGCCAACAACTGTGACGTGAGATTTTGTCATAGTAGCGAATTTACTGCTTGTGTCAAAGAATTGAGAAAACATTTGTACATTGGGCAGACAGACTTAGAAACATCAAATGTGTAAAAATGGTTGTTAGAGATAGAAAATGCACATAGTGATTAGGACTGTGAGTTCAAATGAATTTTCATTAGAAGAATCTTTAACGATGCAATAAAGATCCATCATATAGCTTGAGCAAACTTACAATGCAGAATAGGAAAAAGCGATTAGGCATACTCTATAGCGTATAGGACATTAAATTCCTGTTTGTTACATATGCAAAACGTACGGTATCACTCAAGAAACTTGTTTGACTACACAGAGGCTGGGAATGTATTTAGACGTGAGTCGTGTGGACCAGTTCATAATAACTGAAAAGCATCATCTCAATCATACGACAATTAGTATACTTCATTTTTTACTTCATGTCCAGGGGTTTACTGATAATTACATAAAAAGTATCCATACATAAGTTCACAGTAAATATATTGGATGATAAGAAGTGCACCAACTTCAATGGGATGACGACAGATGCAGTGACAGAGTTGCATGTTTGGTTATGATTGTAACACCTGGTCATTCTGATGTTAAGTACGTAGTTAAGAAGCATGAAAGGATAGGCTGCGGTAAGTGCCGTGTCATTTTAGTGGAAGGATTACATGTTATCGTGGGGATAATGGGCTGGGGGCTGATAACATAGAGAGCTGTTCGTATTTTGTACTAAGTTCTACTTATGCTGAAGCATAGGTATCGATAAATCCTCACTGGTTTGCCGCAATATTATCTAGATTTTCATGGCGTATTCGCACCCGATCTAGAAACAATATCAAGCAGGTTTAAACTGACAAATACTCCTGTAGTGGTAAATAAATCCCCAAAATAGACAGCTCTGTAAGTTTTCGACATTGGATGCTGACCACATTAGTTTTAAAAGACTCACGTGGCTGAAGGCGCTCGGTCATGCATCCACACCAGGTCATGAGTGGGAACGCCGTGCTCAACAAACCCTGCAACCGCTAGCCAGATTAGATCAGATGATCCTCGATATATTGATAGTCTATCAAATATATCTTTGAACCTCCTCGCTTATGTCTTTTTATTTCACTTGGTGGGTACGCTTCATATTAGGTGTTACTGGTTAAAGCGTTGTCAAACTCCGAATACCTGTGGCATCTTCACTCTTCATTTTTCTGATGCTTGGAATGGAGTTATAAATCCTTTCATACGTGTTTTTTTAATAAATGAATGTCGCAGCATTTAACTTATGGTGGTAAACCATTGAGTTTTTGATTGTATCGTAAGGGAAATCAGTATTAAATTTACCATGTATGTCCATTCAGTTTATGACCTTCTACACTTATGGACTACTAGATAGGGATATGAAGACTGGAAAATAATGATTTCGTAAACGTTCAACGTGTAAATCACAAACCTTCAATTAAGTTCGTATTTGTTCTTCAAGCAGGGAGTTTGCAGCTACACACACCATTGCTACTGAATATTACTATTTATGGAGATGATATAACAGAACGTCTATATAAAACAGAATCGTATATCATTGTCGAATTGAGAAATGACATATCCTAGTGATAAAGTGATTGCATACTATGCATACTCCCTCTATAGATAACTGTGATAAATTTTGTGAACTTGCTGACGTTGGCACAAATTGTGGATGAATGTTACCCCCAGTGATTAAGGCTAATGATATATCAAATCTAGGAACAGTTCATGAGGATGGAGAAAACATTTCTTAAGGAATTATCAAGTACACAAAGGAGTGTGAAAAAAGAAGTCCTACATATGCAACATGTGTGTACTTCAACTGCACTAGGCTATAGTCTAGCAGTAAAATAAAAAAACCATACATGATTTTTGAACTATGTATAGCAATTCTTGGATTTTGAAGTGAAATTTATTCAACAATATATATAAAATCAGTTTTTCACGGAAACCGTTTCTTAAATTATAGACTAATTTTGAACCTAGTGAGTAGGTGTGGTCTCAAGGTCACGCCTTTTCGCCTTTAAAATTCAGATTCAAATTTATCTAGTGCGGATCGAAGGCCTACGAACTATGTTATTTCCCTTCTAGTATTATTCCATGAGTGTACAGTCTTCTTCTGAATCAGTCGATTGAAAGTGCGGGCACCACTGCTTCGTGTAACAGGTTCCAAGTATAATGACTCGATGTGAAAACCTGTATATGGCTGCAATTAAACGCAACTCAATTTCGTAAATGTGCCCTTCAGCTTAGCAACCAATCAGAATGAGGCGGGAATTATTACATCCGCCATCTTCGTAAGCAATTGCGGTCGGCTTTCTTCGTTCTGTGCTTCTTTCAGCTATTTCTTTTGTGTAGCTACGGAATTTGATGTTTCAGTGTGCTAAAATTCAAAAGTTAGTGTACTACTCTGAACGTTGGAGCAAAGTTTTTCCTGATTTTGCTTTGTTTTCTGGGTTTTATCTGCTGCTAATGAAGTCACTGTATTTATTCAGCTAAGCTGGCTAGTATTAACATAAGACCTTACGTTTTCAAACGACAATGGGTTATGTTTTATCTTGTTTTCTAGATATCCGAAGTCGAAGTTCGTTTTTATTTAGCTAAAATAATTGTTGCTGTCGCCTGTGACTCTAACTGTTCGCATGTTCGTTCCTAACTATCCTTTATGATGTTATCGGCAAAATGAAAGGAAACAATCTGCGTTTTTTAATTTTCTTCAGTATTATGGACAACACTATTCCACCAACGAGTCAAACTAATACAGAGTGCCCAGCAGTAGGGTATATCGGTACTGATTTCGAAAGGACCCAGACTTCCGACGACTATAGATGAAGTCACAGATGCTACCAATCTATTGCAGAGGGTTTGTTATGAAAAATATGCCATATAACAGTAATAGAGGGGTTGTACTCACTACTCAGTGCGTTAAAGCAAGCTTAACATTGAAAAGCCGGAAACCTGCTACCAGTGTCTAGTGTATGTTTGCTGTTTTGGCCATGAAAGGTAGCCGAAGGGTCATGATCAGGGAGTAAAAAGGTAATTAACTGTTATTAAGCTCACTTTTTTATAGATCGTGTTTCACCACTCGCAAATATGCGTTTTCTTACGTTATGATGTCAACTGGTACCTAATATGTTCACCCTTACGATAAAAAGTACCTGCAAATTTTCACCTCCATATTCGAATTTATTTTGGACAACTGTCTTACAGTCTGAGTGCTTCGTACGCCACGAGAAACATTCGTAGTTCCAGTATAACTTTCTCACGCAGTAAGTTCAAATTAGACACTAGTCTTTCTAAATAAGGCTGTTAATCTAATATCCATATTCTCTATTTCAGTTAATCGATGAAGACATGTACCACGTGCATCTGTTGCATACTGCCATTTTACTCCAATTCTAACTGTTATATCTTACTTTTGAATAATAAAATTGCTATATGCTGCAAATACAGACTTATTTGTTTTGATGGAGGTAGGGGGGCTTATGGGATTTTCACTAAAGAGCTAAGCGAGTGCGTAAACCAGTGTAAGGTACCATACGGGGTGCATTTGAGTTACTAGTGTTCCATAAGTGCGGGTAGGGGCATTGCTTGCTTGTCATATGGCATTTGAATTAGAAGCTATAAGATAAGACGCAGGTACGGTTAGGATGTGTGACGCGTGTCCATCCATCAGCTGGTGTGACAACCCATGGTGGTTAGAATAAGCTATGAGAGGACCCGAGTCTGTAGGTCTCCCAAGGAAATGACGAGGATATGCACCAAATCACTTAACCTCTACTCATTACAGTATAGACGTCTTAGAGGTGACCTAATGGCTTACAATAACCTTAACACTTCTGGACATCCCCTAAGACACCTAATTAAGCTTAGTTCCAACACTAACCTAAGGGGTAACACCCAGAAACTAGAGACACAACATAGCAAAACGGACTGTAGGCACAACTTCTCCTCCTTAAGAGTTGTGAAATGCTGGGATTTTCTGCCGGCCGAGCTAGTCCAAGCGACTTCGCAGGAGTCCTTTAAGAGGCAACTGGGTTTATTCTTAAGGACTAAGTATAGTATCATACTACGGTTTACCAATTTCTTTTTCCTCTTTTATTGTTAACATACCTAGTTTTCTGCCTTGAGGTATTGGTGATCCCCTGCTACTAGACACGGAAGCCTGTTAAGCGAAAGCTTCTTCTATTCAGTTCACAACCATTTGAACACATGAACTAGGTGCTGAGAGGCTCGCTTATCACAAGTTTCTTGCAACGATTAAGTAGATAAAACAAAGTAGCATTAGATTCAGAAATTTATTCAAGAACTTTCATTAAGAATCGAATATCAAACAAAGGTTTAAACCAAGTTCCCGTTTAAAAGTTGTATTGGTAATGTTAAGCTGCAGTTTTTGTTGTTTTTTTCCAAACGAAAGAGTAAAAGAAGTCAAAAAATACTGGAAGTGGTTGTGAGACTAAAATGGACGTCCAGCATCCTTTTTATAATCTGCTGTTCGTTGGATCTCCCGTAAACAGTTCCATAGGGCCATAGTTCTAAGGGCGAAACAGTTTTTATGATCTGTGAAGACTCACTCCTGTTGCATTCTAAATGAAAAAATGGTGATGAATTTAGTCAGAAATGTGGAATATATATATAACCAAATTACATATTTTTTAGCAAAGAATTTATGCAGTTGTGATTTACCTTGAGTTCATGAATATTAGATAAGGTCAGCTACTATTACTTGCGCAAAGCATAACATGGGCTTAGTACCGTATTGCAATGTTTTTATTATTTTGCTCCCATTTAAGTATTCCCATGCATCTGTGTCTAGTTTAACAGGACAACATACAAGCAGAGTAAGTGTCTGATAAACTAAAAGTCCCAGTTGTCAAAAAGATTCTTAACCTTTGTCCACAGCCAGCTGCATTTAATTGAGACACAGAACACTCATCTTCTAAGACTGTATACTGCTGTTTTGCGGGCAACTAAAAGCTCAGACACTTAGCTATCTTGCTACCGATGTTATTGATGGGGAAATTGTTTAATGACAGTGATCATGAAATATGGTCAGTGATAGATGTACAGTTTAGAAATAAACACCAAACATACTTATCGCTATCTTATAATGTATGATAGCAACAGCATCAAAGGCACGTTTTTTCCTATTTTTAATCAGGCTGATCTGAATCCGTATACACATTGGAAACAGGCAACTCTACTTACTAAACTGATCTGTTTCGTTACAGGCTTCAAGCACTATACTTAATTATATCATAATTCCTTCAACTAAACTGAATTATACGACAACCAAGAAAATCAAACTAAGCAAGTGTCATAGTTATTGTTTCACTTGCAAAGACATGTTGCTCAAAGTAGGTAAATGGACATAATTAAGCCGATAAAACCAAAACACGAAATATAGGCCAGTTGAACTTACCTAAGAAAAAAAGAAGGATACATATATACTGCTTTAAAGCAGTATTCAGTATGAATTCATACTGAAGACAACAGGAAGTTGATCATAGAAACACAGTTTACAGTACAACAAACCTTTCTTCAGTAAAATCATGCACTGACAGTCTATCTGGAAACAATCAACTATGTGAATAAAATCACTATGACTTGAGATATCATTTCAGCGTGCAATGGACGTACAGTGTAACGCAGTCGGACGTGGCGAATAAAAATTAAAAACAGAGAAAAATTAACTACATAATCTAGTTATTTAATTAAAAATACATTATGAAATGACAAAATATGTGGTTACTTGAACGCACAAATGACAGTGTGCGATACATTAAGTTTACATTGGTTGCGTTGCGGATAAGATCACCCCCTGTATATCACAGGTATTTTGTTCGTTCTTGGCTTTTCTACTCGCCTGCTATTTCCTTTGCGTTATCCCAATCTATTGAGAGGAAAAGGAGGGAATACGTTAGGCTCAAAATCATTTCTTAGTATTTTACACAACAAAATTAGATCTCCCTTTAGTCTGTGATAGGACAGAGTAAAGAGGTCCAGCTTTTCAAGCCGCTTTTTGTATGGTGAACACCAGAGTTCTGGGATTGCGTGGATAGCTGCCCTCTGTACTTTTTCCGGGATATCCGAGTCACCTTTCAAATAGGGGCTTGAAGTCTGAACACAGTTCTCAAGCTTAGTTCTCAGTAAGGTTGTTTATACTGTAGTGAACATGGTAGTACCTATCTTAATAAACGTCTTTTTTAAAGATCATAAGGTTCTAAACCCCTTAACTGAGACCCCCTGGCAATGGGCCGTTGTCCTGAGATCGTGACGCACTGTCATCCCAAGACCTCTATGAGACCAGACCATTGGTACAGGCACCTCCCCTATGCTGTACCTATTGAAATTTGTATCCCCGAAGTGCATGTAGACACACTTTTCCTCATTGGCAGGCCTCGGCCACACTTTCGACCAGTTAATGACATTGTTTAAGTCTGCCTGAAGTGCATATGCATCTTCGTATCCCGTTATTACTCGCCAGATTTTTACATCGTCAGCGTACAATATCATTGGCGACTGTATTATACTTGAGAGAACATTTACATACATCATAAAAAGTAAAGGACCTGGGACAGAACCGGCTGCTATTAAACGCAAATCAGTTTCGTAAATGTGGCCTTCAGCTTAGCAACCAATCACAATGAGGCGGGAATCATTGTATCCGCCATCTTTGTAAGCAATGGTGGTCGGCCTTTTTTCGTTCTGTGCTTTTTTCAGCTATTTCTTTTGTTTAGCTACAGAACTTAATGTTTCACTGTGCTAAAATGCAGAAGTTAATGTAATACTCTGAATGTTAGAGCAAAATGTTTCCTCATTTTGCTTTGTTTTTTGGGTTCCGGCTGCTGCTACTGAAGTCAATGTATTTCTTCAGCCAGGCTGGCTAGTCTTATCGGTTTTGTTTTGGCTTGTTTTCTAGATATCCATAGCCGAAGCTCGTTTTTTAGCTAAAATAATTGTTGCTGATGCCTGTGACTAACTGTCTGCATGTTCGTTCCTAACTATCCTCTATGATGTTATCGACAGAATGAAAAGAAACAATCTCCGATTTTCAATTTTTCCTTCAGTACCATGGACAACACTGTCCCACCAACGAGTCAAACTAATACAGAGTGCCCAGTAGTAGGGGATATCAGTATTGTTTTCGAAAGGACCCAGACTTCCGATAACCATAGATGAAG